CGGATCATTCCAATTTTTAAGCTTGATTTCCTTATGATCAACCAAACATGGCTAAGTCGATTCCAAATGTTACGTTAATCATTTTCACGCACTTGATTAGGGCTTCTATGAATATTTCTTTGCTTTACAAGTTTAATGCGAAAATTAATACACTTTCATTGGTCAGCGTTATAAAAATTTTCACGTATATACATATGTATGGGGTAATGCGCCAAAATGCAGTTCAATGTTGATTCAAACAACGAAGAATAAAAAAAAATAAAAATTTCAGATGATGACGAGAATTGTAATGCTTAATGCATATAAATGCATGACCAACCACTTACTGGCTAAGCCGACGTCATACCCTCCTTTGAAGAAAAATGGTACACTAGATTTGCTGTTCCAATCGTAACGTCCGTAAAGTGCACATCAGACATCTTATAAAACGAATATGTTATAAAACAGAGTAAACCTGTCAGTGCGTTCGTCAGTTCGTTTATCCGTGACTTGTCTGTCTATGTCAAGAAAGGAAACTAAAATTTCCCCTCAATTTGAAAATAGGTTTACCATGATCCCATCCACAATAACCAAAACACTATAACTTAAAAACCGTAATATACATTCTTCTCAAGATCGGCTATAATTTGAAATCTGCAATGACAAAATAGGCGTACTTCGTCTTTAAACATGCCTAGTGATAAAGTCATCGATTAGCTGAAGCATAAAACATTAACAAAGCACATGACAATCTTTAATAGAGACGGTGAGTATTACAAAATTCGCCTTAAAGCAAATGTCAATTTTTTGTTTGTTTTATTTGTTTCAAGTTTTGCTACTTGACTGTACATCCATCACTGGCTTACGTTTTATTCAAACTTGCATTCAATTGATAATATTATGCGGTTTTTGTTTCCATTTTTTCCCCATTAAAAGATGAGCGATTGCATATAGTTTATGCAAGTATTTTTGTGATTATTTGTCATTCATATAATATGTATGAAAATCTAAGTAAAATACATGTATATATACGTACACTTTTTCATTGTCATTTTTATAGCCACTCCTTTGCAAGAATCAAATACCTACATAAAAAGATGACCCATTCAATATAAATTCAGATCTAAAATAGATCTAATCATGTTTGCCTGCAATTTCGATATTAGTGGTTGAGGGAAATCTTTTTGAACTATAGAATTTAGAATAGGAATTTTATTTATTGTAGACAACTCTTTCTTATAAACGGGTGTACGATCGATGGTGTACATTCCAATCCCTTTAACAATTTTTTTTAGATTTATTACATATAAAATTTATATTTTTATAGAATTAAAAAATTTTATGCACATGTTTTCAGTTGCTTTGAACAAAACTATGTCAAAGACTTTTCCCCACTTGTTTGCTTTAGGTGCGCATTTTTTTTGTTGTCTTATTTCTCTCAAATTACATTTTTATAATGATTTGGTTTTTTAACTGACAGCAAAAGGGGCAAATATAGAAAATTTTGATTCTCTCGGCCGCATTCGGAATGTAAGAAATACAGTTATAGTCATATCCGTTTGCTTATATTAGGCACATATATTCTATTCGCGTATCCACTCGTGCTACTGTTGCCAAAACGGCTAAAAATATGCACTGAAAGGTGTAATAAAATGGGGGCAAAACTCATCTGCAGAACAATATGACGAGAACATAAGAATGGTGTGATTCGGGCCGCTAGAGAAATATTTACCTTAATTATACGCTTTCTACGTCGCACTCCGCTTGAGGTACAGGGTATATTAACTTTGTGCGAACATATGTAACTCGCGAAAGGGATTAAAATAGACACACATAAGACTGTCTGTCCGTCTAATGTCTGTCCATGTATATTGTGTACAAGCTATAAGTCGCAATTTTTGAGATGTTATGATGAAATTTGTTTTGGGTCGGTCCACCTTTCCGCCCACTCTTCGTATAACGCCCTATTTTGAAAAGCCGTTGTGTGGAAAAAGATTGTGATTTTCAAAATTTTACCACAAACCTCGCTCTGTAGTACAGTTCGGACATTCTAAATATGTGTAAAAATTTGGGTTGCTAGAGGCAATGTTTTGACCCCTCTCTCATATGACCGACCTTACGAAGACTGAAACTTTCAAGGTGCAAATTAGTTCATAATAGTAAATTAACATAGAAATCAACGTTTCCCATAGGTCTATTTTTTGTATACTACCGCATACAAGGTTTCCTTCAACATGTGGGCTTTCATGAAATGTATGCCTTTGCATAACAATAATATGTAACTTTTGGTGTATTATTACCAAAACGAGTGAACAACTGTATTAGGCGAAATGTTGTAGGCCCTTTAATAGTCGGCCTTGCCCGAGTATAATGTTTTCTGTTGATATATATTTGCTTAAGATGGTAGTTGGTCGCAATGGCTTCCTTTTTTTTACACTCGCCATGGAAGCAACGCCAGAAGAGTGCGATATAGTTTTAATCACGTGTCTATACCTGAAGGAAGTACGTATTGAACTATTGGAGCAAAATACTGTACAGTATAATCATTTTTGAAATCAGTCAGAGCCAGATATGCCATTTTGTTTTTCAGTATTTTCTTTTAATTCTTTGATCAGTTAATCGTTTTTCATAAAATTAATTGAATAAATTCCAATTTATTTCAAAACTTTGTTTTAAACAAATAAAGTAGATTCATTAAAAGGTGCGTTTTCGGTATTTATTCGCAAAAGCATTCCGCATACCGAATGACCTATTTGATCATATTTGCTGAAATCTCCCTATGTGTATTATGTCCGTACGCATATATTGTTTTTGTGTTCATAATCCTGCTAAAATTATAAAACATCAAGGCTTCCCATCGATTTGAATTTTTTCTTTACATCACCTTATATACTTTGTACTAGTTTTTAATAAAAATTAGTATAGGATTTACGTCTACGAGTCAACTGAATTCGATTGTTAACTTATTTTAGTTGAGTTTCGTGTGTAAGTAAATAAAATAAATAAAAGAAAAAGTCCTACCAAAAAAATGAAAGAAAATCTTCCAAATATGACACATGTTCTTGTTTCTTTTCGATAAAACATGACAATTATTAAGATAAACAAATAGACATTAAAACACATTACCTGACAAATAAGCTCATTAAATTTTCCACAATGCAAGCCAAGAATACAAAGAGAAAGATAAGTGCTTTTGATAATTTTTTGCTTTTTGCATTTTCGAGCATGCTCTAGAATTATGTTTGTTGATTATCAGTCGCACAGTAAGACTTAGGGCAGTGTAAATAATCCGGCCTCTAGAGGCGCCTACAATGAAGTATTCCTTCGCCATTTTATTATTTATAGTTATCATCATTCAAAATGAATGTTTACTTTAAAGTACTTTACCAAAATTTTTTGATAAACAACCAATCGCTCAAATGAAAACGTTACCTTAATAATAATGAATTACAACTATATGTTATTAATATTTCGTTTTAAGTGCTAGCACACGCATACACGTATTATATGTGACCTGTGCGCGAAAGTTATCATGTACGCCATCTGCACCTAATTTGGGACAGCTGTTCAAATTGTCGATCATCTCGTTCGCGCTTTTAAGTTTTTCCGAAAGTGACAAAAAACTATATATATATATAACTATAATAGATAACTGAAGTAGTTTCTCGATCTTTTACAAAATGCCGAATTCCTTGAGAAATTATCTGGTCTGGTATTTTCCCACCAAGTCTTCAGATTTAGTGCAAAGAACCTATCAAGTTACCCACGCCTTTATCAAATTAATTAGTTTTCATGCCACACCTAATGGAGTCTGGAATTAAAAATATATATGCATAACTGAATTTCGAACAAGAAACCTGCCTAAACATCACATATATGTTCGCCTATAACATTCCTTGTTGTTTTAATTTGCTTAACTCAAGAAGAAAAACAAGAAACATATTGATTGGTTCATATGTTGAGATTTGCATAAGTGAAAAGAAAAGACCATAGACATATCTACGGAGGCATGAGTTGTTCTGATGGAATAAAGGTGGAGTAGGTGTTATTTAACATTTTATAGTCCGTATTAAAAGAACGCGGCAGAAAGTACATTAACTGCCAATTTTCTTTTCTTAACGTCGCAAACTTATTAATATCCGCCCGTCCCGCCATTATTCTTTGCGAATAAGCATTTCGGGTAGTCCCAGAAGTGCCGGAACTGACCAGCAAACAAACAATTGTCCAATTCTGTACGTGTAAGACAGTTATTAAGCAAGGAATGAAGTCTGTATGTCCGGCGAGGAGATTGTAGAAGTTTACCTGTTAAACAATAAAAATTTGCATTCGCAGTTAATTGGAGAGTATTTGTCTGCTCCATTGACGGCAATGATAAACGATGGTGGTAATGAACGACAGAAATGTCAACATAATATTTGACATTTGATTTGATGTAAAATTACATCCTGTGAGCTCAATTTGCTTTATTTTCTCAGTAAAGAGCTACAATTACTTTCCCTACTTTATTTTGTTAGAAACCAATGTCAAATACACGCGTCATCATCGAAATAGACCTAACACAGATAAAGAATATCAATTCGAGCTCATATCATGATAAATATTCGAGATATTTATAAAGTTTTTAACAATCGTAACAAGGCTAAAATAAGTTTGTCCGCGAAATACGCGTCTTAAGAAAATCACGTCTTGCGATGATATAAATATAAAAATAATAGCAATAAAAAAAGCTGGAGCGGTGCATTTTGCGTCGCTACTAATGATTGAAACGTGCTGATGAGTAAAATATTTAATTAATCTGGGATTTTCTTCTCCCTTGTTCTTAAATGACAAAATTTGTAAGCAATTAAAATGTTGCCGTATATATATGTACATTCTATATACCAAAAGCCACTCTAGTGCTCTGTGCCATTACTAATATAACTGCAAGGCGTAGTTTTTTTGCTTGCAAAACATGAATTTATATTTATTTGTAAGGAAAATTTCGTGAAAAAAAAATAATTTCACGCTTGGTCATTTGATACCTCTATAATGGTTTTCATATATCTCACCCGCTCCACAAGACTTTCAGCACGACGTGCAAACGAAGCACGTTTCTCGGCAGCAGACATGTTGCGCTTTTGTTGTCTATATAGTAAGAATCTAAAAAATAAAAAATTTCTTTTTGAATATATCTTATAAGAGAGGAAATAATAAAATAACTTAACTAAAAGCTCTAATTAACTTGCAAACACCTTATGCAACAGCCTACGAGATAATTAAAAATTTTCCAACAGATTATATAAGTTTTAAAACAAATAACTAATTGTGGTTAACATATATTATTAGCAAAACGTAAATGTAATTTTCAATTACTGTAGTATCTACAGCAAGCGCACATGTAGCACGTGGCAAAAGAAGGCGTACTCCTTCTAATTTGTAAGCTTTGTTTTGATTATAAAGGATACCTGAGCTGAAAGAGACGTTTTTTTCAAAATTTCAACTTCATTCATCGGTTTGGATGCAATTTTTATACCCATAGCATCCATATTTAATATGTACATTTTTCATTGTATATGATAGAACAGGTCAAGACATTGGTTATTTTTTTGGCCGAGCTCAATTCTCTGAGCTTATAAACATTAATAATATCAAAATCAAGGGTAATTTACATATTATTGAAGTAGAATAGGTTTACAATATTTTAGTGAACTTGCCGTTTTCTAAAACACTATTTTCTCTTCGATTGCTACTGCGTTCAATTCATTTCAAAGAGTTTTGTCCACTTAATAGATAACATTGTTGCCCATTTCTCAGAACTAATCGTTATTATGCCACCCTTTTACGAAAACTATACGGCAACTGTTCCTACCACGACTTTAGGACTTTTTATAAAATGCCGTTGCACTCTATTATATACTGCAAGTAATACGAAAAATTTCAGTTTGATCCACAATCTCGTTAACCATGCGCTATATATACTTATACACAAGCGCGTTTGTTTTTCATGTTTTTTTTTTTCTGCAATATTTTATACATACATTATATTTAACCTTGTTTTTCGATTTGAATCTTATCGTCACTTACCAGGCACTTCATAGTTTATCATAAATTAAATTTATATAAATTTGTACAAAAAAAAAAAAAAAAAAAAAAAAAAATAGATAACACATAAATACTGTACTCACTTACAAACGATTTATTGATACGAATGAATTTTTATTAATGATACTTGAAATAAATATAATTTTATTTATAAAAAATGTATGTTAATTTTTCTTATTGTACTTTCTTTTTTATTAAAATTCTTTAATCGTTTGTGAAAACTTCTTTAAAAATTAAAACGCTCAGCCAAGACGATGGTAATCTTAGCTGACTTCAATGTATCTTTTTAAACAAATGAAGGTCTAAATGCCAAAAATAAATTTGTATATTAGCATTTACGATTCGAAGCTATAAGCGCTATGTGCGTATATACAATGCTTGCGTGTATATATAAACCGGAACGGAACTCTTTATCATTATATACACCCATCTCCAATTTTTTTTTTTTTTTTTTTTTTAAAGGAATCTTTCAGAAAAGATTTTATTACAAAAAAGGTTCATAGAATGACATACCCTTGATACAAGGGCGGATCCCAGATGTCGAGTGGTAATAGGCAATTCGGTATAGGCCAAGATATATTGAGTGAATAATAAAGAAGCAACAGGAGTTCATTGTTAACTGTTATTATACTCTCATGGCCTTCCCTTTACAGAAAGCATTTTTTGTCTCACTATTTCAAACTTTTTAAAGTCTACACCACTTATGGCGTAAAGGCATATTAAGTTTGTGAGGATATACGCAACACCCAGCTCTGTTCACACCGATTGATTCAAAATGACTTTCCGAATCAATATAGGCTTCTCTGCCCGTCTGTGCGTGCATTCACAAACCAAATAAATCAAATAAATAATAATAGCGCAACTCTAGTAATTCTTGTACATAATAACTAATTCATGGATTTGAGCTCATGTTAACTCCCAATTTTCCCACAAAATGTATAGAGCCAACTCTTCTAAGGAATAGCTCTACGCCAAACTTCAAAAACCTCCTATTTCAGACACCGCGATAGGAGGGGTCGAGCTATATAAAAATAGTTCCTCTTTGTAAACGGCGTTTTTTTTTTTATTTCTAACATATCGCCAAATTCTTCACATTGAAATACAATTAAACACATTTTCGCAATTCAAGTCCATTACTATTGTTCCTTTTTTTGGGTATAGTAAAATTTTTTTGGGCCGGCATTGAGTAGGGTGTGTAAACATTGAACTTGTGTAGCGGATTAATATAAATACCTGTCTTACAATGAAAATATTTTTCTAGCCTTCAAAGCGCATTGTAAACTAAGTTGAGGCAAGTGCTCCTGCTTGTCGATGAAACGTTTAAAGATTTGACATATTTATATCCTGCAACACATATGGTGCATTAAGTTTGTCCGTATGTATGTAAGACGCAGAAGAATTTATACGGTTTACAATCATCTCATTAAACATACAGATGGGAATTTTTGAGGTATTTTGACGAAGTTTGGTATACTCAAGTGTTTTGGCCATAGAATCGCCGTTTCGATCACTGCTCATTTATTATACAAAAAAATTGCAATTTTCAAAATTCTTCGGCAAAAATCTTTTATTAGAATTGTAAATGAATATACCAAATATGAACAAGATAGGGAGATTTTTTAAACCCCTCCTATATAAATCATATAACAAAAAGTAACCTTTCATAGGGCAAAAAAGTCGAATCTTCAGTATATGAATATTTATCTACAGTGACTTGATATAAAATATAGGTAAAGTAAATTGTGATCATATTGCGGATCCCACCCCTTAATAACGGTTCTCATGAAAATTAAGCCTTTATTTGGCTACAAAGTCGAAGAATAGCAAATCCTTTAACAAGGAAATTCAATTTGTTAAACATAGACCACGCCATGTTTCGGCCCTCCTGATATTCGCTACATTAAAGCATAAGATATTCTAAAACTTGTAGCAAATAACGTAAAAAATGAGGAACTTTTTGAAACGCTCTTACAATGGAGCAATGACATTTGCCTTGTGAGTGCAACGACATGTAAGCATGCAAAACGTTTTTTAGAAACTTCTAAAAAATTAATTATAACGTCGGGTATTTTTTTCATTAGAAAAACTAAATAAGACGGGCTTAAGCACTTCGATCTAGTCACTGCGAGGGTGTCGTTTAAGGCAACCAATTTCAATCTGTCTTATTTAATATTTTTTGTCAGACTTCAGACACTTAGTTATCATGACTATATTTTGAAATGTGACCGCGACTCCTCAGTCCACACAAATTCACTCTTCTTTATCATTTTGTCTATGGAGTGAAAGCATATGTATTTGTGTCATTTCTATGCAAACTTTTGAAAAGCGCGGAATTCCAACAACAGACAGGTAGACGGACAAATCTTAACGTGGCCTGAACATGTACATTTTGTAAAGCATACGATACAAAGTTTCGGTTATTGCAGCCAATCCTTCGATACTAAATATAGCAAGAGTTTGAGCAAACGCCCTTGATGTCCTTATTACAAGAACATCTTAGTTACGAAATTATTTAACACGTGAGATATGTACTTTCCGTTGAAAATTATCTTTTGTCTTTTCACGATAGCAGACAAATATGCGTACATTATAATGTTGATGGAAATGTTTCACTACTTTATTTAGATACTACTTTTCCTGGAGGTGGAGTATTATTATTTTTATACTCTACACATTGTCGTACAGCGTATATTAAGTTTGTGGGGACGTATATAACACGCAGAAGGGCTTAAAACCCGCTTTTATTATACTGATTTTCACACTCATTTTGTGAATCAATTGAAGCTTGTCAGTTCATCTGTCCATCCGTCTTTGCGTCAGTCTGCCTCTCTCTTCGTCTGATGTCCGTCCATGTATATGTGTGTTCAAGCTTAACGTTGCAATTTTTGTGGTGCTTTGACGAAATTTGCTACACTGACGTGCTTTGACTCAGGGACGAACGCTATAGAAAATGATCTGAATCGGTCCACTTTTGCGACCACTCCCCATATAAAGTCTTATTTTGAAAAGTCATTATACAATTCAGAATCCAAAAAATAGGCCGAGATAACCAAAAGTTGTTACAGGTCATTTTTTTATATTGAGTGACTATTACAATATAATTTTCATCATGAAGCTTTGAAAATTATACATTTTTGTGGTATAAACTTCAGTATTCCTTATATGAAAGGGGGCCCAAAAATTGCCCCACCCGGTATAAAGTTTTCACACCAATTTAGAATATCGAAATACTACTATTTAGCCACTTTTGTTGAGAAATTTTTAAAATCTTGTCGTTTTTTTCCATATAACGACTATTCGACGATATAATAGGGCGTTATAGGGAAGCGGTCGAAAATAGGGACCTGCCCGAACCATCTTCAATAGCGCCGTCCGTGGGCCAAACACCAAATTTTGGGGTCAGTGTACCAAATTTGATTAGCTTCAACACCAATTTACATGGACAGACATCAGACGGACAGACGGCCAGATATGATTAGATCAATTCAGATTACAATTCTGAATTGATCGGTATAATAAAAGGTAGGTCTACCTTAAGCCCTTCTGCGCTTACATACGTCCGCACTAACTTAATATGCCCTGTGCCACAAGTGGTGTAGGGTATAAAAATATAATTTTTAATACAGTAAAAGTTCCTTATTCGCGGGGGATACGTTCCATAAAATTGCCGTGAATACAGAAACCCTGAATACGGAGTGGTAATTTATGGGATTATAGGGGATACTTTCCTAGGTGACAAAACAAAAAAAAAAAAAAATCAATTTAATTGAATGCAAATTACATTTAGTTTTTCCCTCTTTAGGCAATTTGTTATTTGGGGAAATTACTTAGCTGAAATGAACTTGATTTGGGATTTTCGCAACAATACTTTATTCATTGAGCAACAATGTTCTTTCATTCCGTTCGTTTACATTCTCATAAACCGCGAATAAACATATTTATAGCCGGGAATGTGGGAATTGGTCACATTTTTTTCATCCGCGAATAGTGAAACCGCGAATAAAGGAAGCTCGAATAAGGAACTTTTACTGTATTTCATGATCAAAATTAGTTCATAATAGCAAATTGACATAGAAGTCAACCTTATCGAACTTGAATCGCGTGGGTCTATTTTTGGGATATTAGTGCGTATAGTGAGCTGTGTTGAGTGACTCTTCCGATATTCAGGATTTCATGAAGGAAATGCCTTTACACAAAAAAGGGGTAACTTTTGATCTATTATTACCATTATTTGGCGTAGTGAATAACTGTATAAGGCGAAGCAGTGTAGGGTAGCTAAAAGTCGGTCTTGGCCGATTTTAATATTAATATTTAGTTTTCTTTTAAGAAAGAGTTGTCTTGAGAAAAACTGACGCTGACACAATAATGCTGTAGATAGTCTTTAGAACGAAATGCAAAGTTTATTGTCTCACGTAAGGATCATAACGAAATATTTATTTGAAAAGTCTGCTACATTTTAGAAAATCGAAAAACGTAAGGGCATTTCAACTCAGTCTTGAATATTATTAAAAATATTTTGGTTAATTTATCAATTGTCTGTTATTGAAAGCGTACTGTTTGTCTTTTGAATTTCTAATGAACAATTCAAATGAGACAATAATGCGAAAAGTAAAACAGAACGAAATTTGCGTATGAATACGAAGAGTAAATGAAAATAAATATTTTTGTGAGAAAATATGAATATAATGCAATGCTTTGACGTTTGACTGAATTATGCACATTAACATTATATTTATAATAATTGTTATAATTTTTGTCTTTTTCCTTAAACTAAATAAATAAAACAAGGCGCTTATGGACTGTGCTGTCGTGTAGCTCAATATATCGTATATAGATTTAGCAGCAAGAGTATTATTCGTTGAAATGATAATGTGTGCTGTTTTCTTTTTGAAAAGGCCACCACAGCGTCAAACCTATATAATATATAGTCGCATACATACGTATGCAAATATGTTTATATGTATATGTTTATTTGCTCACATATTTGTCAAATGTAAATAGTTCTTCTCAAGTAAAAAAAGAAACCAAAAATAGCTACACCAAGTAGCGACACTTTGGCTCGACAGTGCGGTTTTCTAGATTTACACATAAATATTGTATATAAATAAATAAGTGTATGTATAACTCACTTCTACAACACTATATATCATGATGCCGATGTGGTTTAGTAAGAAAGTAGTTGGAGCAAAGGCGGGGGGTTAAAGACATATGTCACTAAGTGTATATATGCACGTATTTATATATATTTCATATTTAAATATATATGTATGTTTAATACATATTTAACACATGTTCAATGTGTATTAGGTGACACAAAACAGCTGCTATATATTATTAACGGCATCATTTATATAAAATTTTGGTAGTAAATGTTTGCCTGATCTGCATAAATTTCTTGTCAGATTGTATATATATATAAATATAATATAAGATCTTACAAGAAATTTTAATTATAATTTTATTCGAAATATATATATATGTACAACACACTCTAAGATGCCAAGTGAATATAGTTTTTATTAAATGAAACATTTTTCAAAATTTAAACTTTCTATAATAATATTTTACACACACACCCTCACATGGCAGAATCATTCGATGATAACTGCACAAAATAATATACAAAAAAAATTCTGTTTGGCTTGGTGTAAATCACGGTCTCCCACATTATTTTAATCAAACAAGAGAACTTATCGTAAAAGACGCATTATTTCCTTTTGCTCGTATATCGCGACATTTCTTCCAGATCCTTTTCATATAGCAGCCTGCTCATATCTGTCATTTAATCGAAGAATACTACGCACTTTAATGATATTTTTAATAATTGTTCAAATTTTTCATCGAAAACTACCTTAGTCGCGGCCAATTTGATTATAAAAAGGAAAGAAAATAAAGCACAAATTGTGTGCTAAAATTAAAATCTTTTCAAATGTAGAAATAACGATAATTTTATAAATAAATAAGAAGAAAGTAATAGGTAAATAAATAAACAAGAGTGTTTTATTCTAAATATATAGATGAAAATTTAAAATTGTTAGGTAGCTGGAAAGGCCATGTAACCGATATACAGAAGATGGAATGCTGGCTGATATGACGCAAAATATTCCAAAAATAAAAAAAGTTGAAGTTTCTGTAACAACATTTAAGAAATCTATGATGAACATAATTTTTATGGTAATGTATCAAAATCACATAACCGCCAAGCTTAATTGGCGGTTAAACGGAAGGCTTTTCTATAAAAAGAGTACGGTTGCACAAACAACAAAAAAGAAAAGAGCTTGAAATTTTATAAAACCTGCAATATTTAAATACTTTCCTTAAGTGGAATATATTAACGTATTGTTTTCAAAATGTCACAAATAAAATAGTTTTTGTTTTTTTAAACCTTGAAAATATCTTTTTAGATAATTAAAATGCATATTAATTCCTGTCTAGCATTTAAAACAAGCGAACACCCAACCAACCCACTTATTTTAATTACTTCCATATTAAACGACAATAAAAATTAATAATAACGCAACAAGTTCTATAAATTTGTTTTTATCAATCAATTTGCGGTCATTTATATCTACATACACAAATACATATATGGTTATGATATGTAAAAAAGACAAACAAAAAGTTAGTAAATATTCATTTAAGAAGAAGACCTTTTAAGTTATGTATAAACAAAGCCTTCAGAAAAAATTATTCATACGTTGGCGAATGAAATAATATTTATGTGAAAGAAAGTCACAGAACCACAGTGCACAGTGCATTTGTTTGTGTTTTTGTGAAATATTTTGTGTGTATCAAGCCAATTTGTTTATACCCATAATTTAGTGGCTAAGATTGCACTGTTTTCTATCATTACTATTGACATACTTGGAAATATTTCATAAATTAAGAAAATCGTTAAAAGCTTAGCTCAACAGTTAACATGTCCCATGAATGTGATCGTGGCGCCGTGGTTTTCATATTCGGCCTGAGAAAATTCCTTTTCTTACGCCCTTTTATTGCGACAAAACACAATTTTCTTCGTTCTTCAACAAAAATTTGACCAACGCCATCAGTAAATAAGGCATCGCATTTCTTGAGTATTTATGGCTGTTTACTTTCCAATAAAAGTCATTTCAAACACTACACGAAAATACAAAGAGGGAGTCAGGAGGAGCCCGAGCCATGCCCACAGGAAATAGCCTAAGTTAAATTCAAGTTCAACTCAAACGTATCATTTCTTGATCATAGACTGCAAATATGCTTTGTTCCTTACGATTCCCATTAATTCTTGGACAAAATGAATTAATAAATATAGTTTTGTAATAAGTTACTTCCTACATCAATTTTATACCTGAGGTCCGATGCAAATGTTTACCAGAAAATTTAATAAAAATCCTTCCATTTCAAAAATTTGCTTTAGGTGGTTGGGTAGAGAATATTCGCCACAAGGCTTCTTTCTACACTGTATGCATAACCTAAGGATAAACTAAAATCATTGATATACTGCGATCGTCGTTTGTCATCCACGTGGGGATTTATGAACATATGTGCATACACAAGTATCATGTAAGCAGATAAATCTCCATTTTCGCAAACACGGCAATCCACATTCTCATATTGTGTTGGCTCTTCAAGACTTTTTCACCAACAATTGAAGTTGTATCTTTCCTCATCTATCCTGCTGACATGATTTAGCTTCATTCGAATCTTGAATTCGGAGAACCGTTCCAGAGACGTCGTTTTGACAATATTCAAAAGACAAGCCCGAATCAATAAATACACTTTCTTAGGTCAGAGTAAACAGGAGCAAGCGTCATTAACTACCGGATAGGATATTGGTATGAAAAACCTGTTTATTTGCTCGACTTAAAAAAGAACCAACGATATGAAAGGATAAGTCTTACTAACTTTTCGTCATAATATTATATCCAACATTTTATTTGATTTTTTCTTTTCTTATTTAAGTGTTTGCAGTAAGTTGTTTTATCTTAGTTTACGTTAATTCACTTAATTTTTTAGCTTAAAACAATAAATTGGTCTTGAAAAAATATCCTTCCCTGATCTTTTGTAAAATTTTAATAATTTTACTTACATTAGTAAAAAATTTAAAAAACGAAACTTATCTTCACTTGTTAATGAAATTTATTAATATATATTTTATCTTATTATTTAAAAAATTTTCAGAATATTTAAGAAAATTTGTTTTTATTTTTCAGATTTTTTTCTTCTTTAATTTAAAAAAAAAATCGATCTTCTTAAAAAACTATTTCATTTGTCACTAAACTTTTTATTTCGCCGTTTGCTTTACTCTTCGCCAATTTTCTTTGAAAATAAAATTCAAAACAACGATCACCGCGTTGCAAAGCTATGAATACACTGAATACACTGTTTTTAGCTCAGGAAGTGTTTTGTGTTTTTGTAGCAAAAATGCATGCACGGTAATGTTAAAATAAATAAAAGCAAAAACAAAACAAATGCTAGCAGTACGGTGCTTAAAACAAAATTTAAAATTAATGAGATGTTAGCACTAAACGCAAGCGGGTAATTTTCTGTTTCTGTTAGTACAAATTTTGTAAACCAAAAAAAATTAACAACACAAATAAAACAAATGAAGCAGCTGAAGAGAAGATGAGAGTAGTTTATGAGAACAAATATTATGTTTAACTAAAAGAGGGTGCGAGAGATCAAGTAACTGAGCGATAACAACGGAAAAAGAGAGCTTTTAAGAAACTTCGTAAACACAAAAAGAAAAACCATATTAGTTACAAATCTTAGCAACTTTATGAAAATTAATTAAATAATTTTTACAAATGTCAATTGCAGTGAGTTAACTGCTATTTGTTAACTTTTTCTATTCACAACTATTTGCAGCACCTCAGCTCTTCAAACAATCTTATCATGCATTCGAAGTTTTTTCTTATTAGATTTCAGTTGCGTAGTTTTAAGATGATTCTAAAATATTAAGCAAACAGCTGGCTTACAGTCTTACAATTATATTTATACTTGCAACAATACTTATATTAATTAATAATGGCAATAAATTAGAGCTTATTTTTTGTTGAATATGGCAGTTCTGTTTTCAGAAAATATTTTGGAATAATGTCTTCCGCATAGAACCAACAAAAATTTACTGCAACAAAGAAAATTAATAAATAAAAGATTCAATAATCCTTGTACCATGCGGACAGTAAACCTAATGCTTTCCTTATCTATCCTTTCCGTAAATATGATGCTATATAATATGTAATAAATCGTTCTCTCCGAGTGTTTAGATTCGAAAATGATGATAAACACTACTGTAGTATAATGCGTGACTTCTTAAGCCATCTGCCGACTGCTATTACTTAACTGAGCTATATAAATTAGGCACAACGATTGTAACAAGTCTCAAGTTGTTTGAATCATTTATCCTACGCCAACGCTTGGCTATCGAATTTTTGTCACGTCATGCGCAGGCGAAGGCACTGGTTTGAAATACGTTCATTTATTAGGACTTTATAAACGTAAGTAAGATCATCCAAAATTTTTACATCAAAATCTTCACCTTTATTATCATTTGATCATGATTTAGTAACACTCAACAATATAATTGCAAACTTAGTCTTTCTCAAAGAAACGATTATTTCGAGCTGCCTTGGTTTGGCTGTTAGTTTTTAAAGTATTGGAGTTAATAAGGCTGGGCTACAAAGTGTCTTGTCAAAAATCTTATCCTGGGAAAAAAGTATTTTGTAACAAATAATTTAACAAAAAAGAAAAACATGCACGACCGTGACAGGACTCGAACCTGCAATCTTCGGATTCGAAGTCCGACGCCTTATCCATTAGGCCACACGGTCCTTTGCAAATAGTGTAAAATGCACATTTTATTAAGAACCCTTAGAGGATATTGCTATAATATAAGGGTAGTTTTTGTTAGTTTATTACAATTAAAATAAAGTCCATGCAGAGCTGCACATTTGTTAAAATTTTCAAATGCAAATAAAATTACAGTAAAATAATAAACTAAACTAATAATTTGGCGTATTATTTAAATAAATTTTTTAATTATTTACACATTATAACAAGTAAACGGAAAAATAGTCCAGGTTATCACAAACATAATCAATAAATTTTGGTAAATTCTATTAGCTGATTTAAAAAAAATGCAGCCGTAGTAAACAGCGGGCCACTAGTGCGTGTAATAGCTTGAAATATTAAGAACTAGCAAAGTTTTTCAATCAACCAGCTCATCAATAGTCTTTTTACTTCATCTGCTGAGTAAGAGAGAAATTCTAAGTAATATCTTACTGATAGTACACTTTCTTTAGTTTCTTTCAATGATATCATTAAGTAAAGATGAAGATGAAGAAAATTTGGAAATTACCCACCAGGCTTATCGGTACACACTAAGGCCATTATGATTTTGTTACAATCCTCTTCATTGCAGAAGCTCGAGCGGGGTGTCTGTTAATCTTTTTAAAATTTTTGTTTCCCATTGAACGCATTTTAAGAGATGAGATTAAATTTCAGAATGAAGACAAAAGCTACATTAACTTATGAATATCTAAATTCGTCTTAGTAGCCAAGTAGACAAATGATCTCGACATTAACAAGAAATTCCCTTGTAGTCATTGGTGAATTTAATAAACTTACAATAAATAATATATTTCTTTGAGATTTCTTGCGATCACCATTTTTAGATATATGCACGTATAATTATTTAGTTCTCTAAAGAATTATTCGAAAAATTTTCTTTTTTCACTTTCAAGAACTCGCACAGCGAAATGTTGAAATTCCGTTGATTTCTCGCGAAAAGCCTTTAGTTCATTGTCTTTTCTTTCTTCATCGTTTCGTTTCAGGTCGTTTCAGGCCTTTAAAATATGTTAACACCAGATGCGTTTCTGTTAAAGTGAGCGCAGTTCGGTCAAAGCGGACTCAATTCTGTTAGCGTGGATGCATTTTTGTTAAAGTAGACCGGTTTTCTGTTGAAAGCTGCTAGTGTTACTGTTAAAACTAAAACCAAATTTGTATGGCAACACCAAACAAATATTTATTCTATAACTCAATGTTCCTAGGTTCAAATCTCAAGCGCAGTAGAGTTTCAATAAAATTATTAATAATAATAATGACAATAATGTACGAATTTCTTAATAATTCTCATATTTGTTCATCCTTTTTTTTTAAATACAATATTAAAACTGCTTTTAACTCACATAGATGCCATTTTTTGTTATGCCCCCTTTTTGGCCTAATGAATCTTTGAAAATACATTATAAATGTTCGTAAAAGCAAAAGAAGTGCTAAAATTTTAATAGGAAAGCATATATGAACAATAAAAGTTTGAGAAAAGCCGCCTATTTGTTCAAACTGAAAGTAGAACCTATGTTCGATGTTTGTGTTCTTTGCCACACGGTAACTCTGCAACCCAGCTGTCAACTGTCAAACAAGGTCAACGTGTTTGTACTACTAGTGATTTGTTGCTCTTGTATTATTTTGTCGAAAGTATATTACCACCGAGAAAAACGAAAACTTTACATTTTCCGTATTTTTTTTAATTATCAAACGAATATAAAGAAATATTTTTAGACACCTTTGTGAACAATGTGGAAGTTTTAAAGCTAAAGAAAAAAGGCAAATCTTACCATAAAGAACGACCCAAGCAGCTGAAATAATAAAAGAAACCAAGAAGATTACGATTGCAATAACATGGCTACGCGTGGAGGTCCAATGATAACAGGAACAGATGGAACGGATTTTGAATATAGGCAGCGGGTAGCAGCACCTCATCAAATTAGGTTAATATATCTGTAATAATATGTGCATTTAATTTCTTTAGGCCTTTTTTGTAGATACAATTTATAGCTTTTTCATCTTAGTTTTTGCATAACTCTTTAGGAAAAACCAGTCAAAATGCATTCCATTGCAGTATATCAATCTTTTGTTGCTCTTATAGGGCCGTATTTTCCTGTCAAAATATGTGCAATATTTCGTTTGATTTCATGTTAATTTAGGCAGTTTGCCAGAATTTGTTTACATGTTTGATGTGTCTCTCCCGCACTCATTATTTTAAATGTATGCTGTGTTGGCAATTTATTACTACGCGTTAATTATCAGTAAATCGAACGAAGAGATCGAAAAACCTCGGTATGGCATGGTAAAAATTTTATAACATTAGCATCAGAACTGCCCCTCATTTTGTATGAAAGCATTGTTACACAGAGGTGAAGTACTGAGCGCTGTTTTCTTGACAAACCCCAAGCTACAAGTGAAATGGTCAGGGTAAGACTTATTTAATTAACCATATGAGTTAATCTACCCCTTACATGCTAAAAAACTACTCGTCCCTGTCGCAATTGTCCCTGATGAAGAAACAAACAGTCAAAGATGTATTCGGGAACGCAAAATAATTTTGGGAAAACTAAAATTAAAAAAAAAGATGTAAACTTTGCTGCATAAATAAAAAATATTTCAAACGAAATGTATGATTTGAAACAATAAATTATACAAAAATTATTGCTTATGTCTGATGGTTTAACAATCAAAGATTTAAACGGCCGCTACTATAGCACAAATATTTTGACGAAACTGTTTTTCTTTTCATAAGAAGTAGAAGCGATATTACAAATGCGTGATTTCAGATAATTGTGGAGCGGGTATTCTTCTCAATGTAAACAGGAGCATTCATTCCCTCTTTAGAGGAACAATGTTGTAAAATTTGACGATAAGTTTTTGTTATCATTTGTATAAGTCAGTTGCGAAAATAAACAAAAAGCATTAAAAATTTTGCAAAACTGTCCTTAAGAAATGTGTGCTCTTCTTTACATCTCTTTGCAGTTTATTAAATAAATCACGACTGAAATATTGCATTTTCTTTCATGCCTTGCTGTTTTTTGTCATGTTGGCTAAGTTAACCTCCGATATATTAGACCGTTTGGATGTATTTGTTTTGGAAATTGAAGAATTGGAGGTACCGTCCCCATTGTGGTGGGAATACATATGGTTGAGCTCACTGTTAACATCATTCTTGGGTTTATCTGCTGCTCGTGCTAACAAAATACGCAAAATGCAGGAATACATGTTTGCCATCGGCTTATTTGCTTTATTACCTTTACTTTATTGTTTTATTTACTATTTCGGAGATGTTTGGGAATATTTAACATTAGATGAGAATATCGATTTAGAAGAAACAGAAATCTTTTTATGGCGCGTAAGTCATTCTACATAAAAATATTTTTAATAAAAGTTTTTAAATAAATGTTTCCAAAATTTTTTTCCAGGGTATGCCCTATGGTTTGTTATGGCACGCTTTTTGCTTTGTGGGTTTTCAGATACATGGTTTCACTCTTTATTTTTCCTACAATCTAGTCAAGGCTTGGAAGGCGCGTACGGCAGCTCGAAAATATCAATAAATCAAGTTAAATTATGATTGCCATCTATTCTGATAAGATACAAAGCGCGATATAAATTTATATTTATGTAAGCAGAAAAGATTACGAAATTCGTTGATAGTTCATAGGACTTCAAGAGGATTCTTGTTAACTATTGTCTGTAGGATGTCAAAAAACAAAGGATTTTAAAAATTATCTTAATGTAATAAATAAATATATTTAGAAATATTGTTATGCATAAAAACTTTTAAAACTAAAACAATGGAAGCTTTATTGCTATTTAAATGTTCAGTTAAATATTGTGTTTGCAAAAAAAAATATTTGTGTTGTTATCCCAACCCTTAATTTATTTTCATTATAATGTTACTCGTTTATTAATGAAAGTTTATACATATATATGTACGTACACGTGCATACATGGCCATAACTCTTTGGCACTTTAAAAAACTGATAAATATTTAAATCGTTCAACTGCCTTATTTAGATAAAAAAGATAACTTGTAGCTCAAGTAAAGCACGTAATTAAAGGTTTTTAGTTCTTTTTAAACCAATTTGTGGAAATTATTTGTGAGAAATTAAAGCAAGAATTGAAAAATATTTACACAAATTCGCTTGTTCTCTCAAAACATTTCAGGACAAATAAGTTCAAGAAATTTGTGAAAGTATTTTTCCTATTCGTACTAGTTAGACATTTAGTGGTTGAGAAATATGGGGATCGAGGATCTGGGATTAAGCATATAAATGCCAGCAGCAGTTATAGAGAGGAAAAGCTTTCTTATGTTGCGGTAATGTATCTAAGAAGGGTTAGTTTTTATATATGTTTGCGAATCGATATGTAACATTTTGCATATTGGCGTCGTTCTAAAAAAGCCAAAACACATGTACGCAACCGTTCAGAAAGTTTATTTATTTAGATTTGACGTAAAGAGAGTGGTATGCGAAGCACGTGCAGTTCGTAGTACTCACTTCATTTTTTGCTCTTAAATTCAAATAACTTTTCAAATAAATGTAAACTCCTAACGAGGAAATCAAGTACAAACCTGTAAATATTAGTCAGCTAAACTGTATACGAATTCTCACTTACACTTACTTTGCAAGAGCAAAAGCTTTTTTCTATATAAACATGCATGTACAAAGATTTTGCCTAAGAGGGAGAATATGACCTCAAAAACTGGCTCTTTGCATTACTCTCAGATGTTACCAAATTCGAACTGGCTCTTTGAATTACTCTTAGAAGATACCAAGTCCGAACTCGTTTTTTTTGATTATTCTCAATTGTAAACGAATGCGGACTAACTACTTACAGAATATATTTTGATTATAATTCATGCAACAAATGGACTTTACCTGACCTACGCATCAAGTTTTCAAATGATAAGAAGTGAGTAAACAAAGTATACATAAAAATTCTTATCATAAAAAGAAACAAGCAAAAAAATTATATTCGTTCGTGACCGAATCTTTTGTAAAAAAGTATAGTGTGCAACCAAAAAGTATAGCGTGCAACCAAAAAAGTATAGCGTGCAACCAAAAAGTATAGCGTACAACCAAAAAAGTATAGATTGCGACTAAAATAATAAATGTTTAATGAGAGAAAAAAACACACAGAGAAGAGAGATAGACAAGGAAAGTGAACGGGAGAGAATTAAAAATTCTAAGAAAACATACAAAGCACAGACCACAAACAATCAAATAAAGACAATTGCACAAAAATCCAATCCAAACGTCACGCACTGAATAAACAAAAAAGGAATTATAAGTTAAAAAAACTTTTAAGCAAAAGAAGAGACCCATATTTTGTTAGCTAAGCAGCAAGTACAACTATAAAATATTCTGTCAAAACAAAGCAAATTTTACAAATTTTAGTTTGACAGTTTGAATAAGTGAGGAATATTTTTAAAATTCTTTTTCTTCACAATTTTTGAGATTTTAATTCGTGTGGCTGAAGACAACTACTATCAATCAATCAAAAGCACAAAATATTGAAAATAAAACAAGACATTTTTAAAACCTTTATGTGCATCACAAAGGCATTTTGAAGTTTTGGACTTTTCTTAACACATCTTAAGAGTGCAGCGTGCCGATGAGACGAAGATGTGAAAGGGATTGTAAATCTTAGCAACAATTGGTATATTTATTAATCGACCTTCACACAGGGGCAGATTGCTTTTAAAAAAAAAATTAAAGATATCATCCCGGTTTCGTTTCTTACTCGTACTTCCTCGAAGTATTAAATTTTTCAAACGAATCGAAATTCGTCTATTTTGCCAACAGCTAGGATCCTAAGACAGAATGCTAAAGGTAAAGAAGATTTCTTTAAAATCCAATAGTAAATAGCGTAACTCACCTTGTACTTGATTAATTAAAAAATATATTATATGATATGGAGGAGGCTTCCAGCCTGCAGCAAAATAAGAACAAAGTCAATGACATTTACCAAGTTTTGAAAAAGTCTAGCGCCAAAGACGAAGATTACTAAGGCCTACGAGCGAGACAAAAGACTTTTCTCAGTTAAATCCAATATGTTTGTATTAAAAAAAATTCAAGACAATGAAATATCTGCACGCGTAACTGTCCTTTACTTACCTTATATAAGAACAATAACTGAATATGAATGAAAACATTTGAAGAATATTTTGGAAGCAACATAGCAAGATGGCAGTGTTAATAACAATTATAATCTTACCGGTGAAAAATCAAACGCAGCGTGATATTAAATCCAACCATTACGCCCTACAATTACGATCTATTCTTCTATTAAGCCGAAGTTATTTATAGACTTCAATAAAGTCGCTGACGCCTTTAAGAGGCTACAAGGTTTAGTGTCCAACTAATCGCTTCAACTTAACAGAATATTTTCATACAATTAATCAATTAATACAAGGTTATGCCGAGTTCTATGAAAATGCGTGCAAAAGGAATCAAAGGTTATATTTCTATAATGAACAATATATTATAAGAAAAGTTGCAAAATTAAATTTTTTTTGTAAATATTTTTTTAAAATAAATATGCATCCGTTCGCATATTAATGTATTTAGTAAAAAATTGATTTACAATTGAACGAGCCAGAATACATATTCAGCTGAAGGAAAATTTTTATACGCTTACTCTCGCATGCACGCAATTTTTATACAAATACTTGTACAGTATTAAAAATTGTAAACAAATTGGACCCTTATTCTCATATCTTTGGAATTATTGAGAATATATATGCTTACTCCATAAAGGCAGCAAATTTTATACAAACACATGTTTCGAATTTAATAGTCCGACTAGATTCCTTAAGCTTCTAACTTTTATAATTTCTGAATAACGAGTAAAAAAATTGTTAGGAAAAACAGTTGTCTTCTCCTCTAACCATCTCCTGTTTTGCGACCAGGAGAGTGCCAACCACACCGAGACATTGGCGGACAAACATTGCTTGATCAGTTCAGAATTTCACGTTGATCAAGAATATATATACCTTATATGGTTACATACATTAATTGGCAACTGACGCGCGCAAGATCGTACGCTTTTGATTGTTCTATTGCTTAAATTTTTCTTATTGTTTTATACGCGTTTAAAGCTAAGTATTTGTATACATATAAAAGTGTTAAAGTAAAAGTGTAAGAATTAAATTAATTACATTAAAATTTTGTGATTTTCATTTTGGTTCTTGCGATTAGCACTTGTGCTCGCAATAGTAAATATCTTCCGAGTTTTCTTTTTTTTCCTTTGGTGTTAACAGCTTTCTCTTGGCTTGTTTACCGTTAGTCCATGTTATAGGTAGCAAATGGTTGATTTACTTAAAATACTTTAACAGAAAAACAAAGCAGAAAGCCCCAAGAAATTATCAAAAAGTATACCAGCAGGGCCTGCATTGCTTTTAATATAAGAAAAATTTTTATTTCTCTTGCAATAAACGCTATTTCGCCATAAGAAACAAAACCGGGAAGGATTTATTAAAATGAAAAATGTAGCTTCGTAAGATGACTATCTGTTTTCTCCAACACACTTGTGTAGCAGTCGAAGAATAGTTTGATTCGAAAGAGAATCTTCTTCTTCCTCTATTCTGTAATAGAGTCCATAACCGGCGAAGATATGGGAAAAGCAAGTGCATAAAGACGGACAACCAATACTACTATACTGTACTATAAAAGTCATTTTTCTTCTTTTTTCTTGTAAAAAGGCAACTTAGTCTTTTAATAGTTACTTAATTTTCCACACTTTCTGAATTATTTATATCTAATTCTTATTAAAATGATGCAGTGTAAGGAAGCGTTTTGCTCCCTTACTAATAACCAGTCCGTCGGACTAAACGTTTACCCGCAGACATCAACTAGTCAGTCTGATTTGTCCGTTTACATGTCTGTCTACTGAACATGATCAGCCTCCTCCCACTCAAAAATATAAACATATAAGCTACACACACAAAATGTATTCCAAGAATGTACTGTCACATATAAAATGTATACCAAGTATTCACATGTAACATTCACAATTCTATGAGCCATGAAAACGCACTCAAAAAAATATATAAACGCATAAGTTATATATGAAAATGTATACATAGGATAGAAATATAAGGAGGAAAAAAAGAACTACTGAGAATCCTAGACGCTTATTTTCAGTTGGCGGCAAATTTTTATACGCTTATTCTCAGATGTAGGCAATTTTTATACAAATACATGTTCAATTATTGAGAAGTGTGAACAAATGTGGACGCTTATTCTCAGATGTTTGGAATTTTTATACCTATATATACCTATACCTATTTACCTAAGTAAGCATATTGCAAGGCCTGCTCTTTGGATGTCAGTCAGCGGCTGGTGTTGGGTTCGATCACACTATCAGATAATTTTGAGTTTATTTCAGCATTAACTCCGAATTCAGAATGCAGTGTACTTTTATTATATGATATGTTGCACAAGCGTAATCAATTACTTGTGAAATCCCAGCCTAATGGTTATTATTAATACGTCTTGCAGACAAACCTGCGATCCCCTAAACTCTCAGGAATAAGTTAATGGCAGCACTCCACACGTGCTGAATGAGTTGTGCCTGCAACAGTACTAACTCCCAAACAGATCGATCATTGTTAACCGAGAAAAGCCTTAAAGAATTGTTGCGATAATTGCTATAGAGAATTGCAAAATAAGGGAAAAATTTGCCGGTGGATTTTGGCGGCGAGACTTCGATACAAAAGCGTACAAATATTTGAAGTATTCTTTCTATTTTTAATACGTAAAAGGCACAAAAATGCATCAGCAGCGGTAAGGTATTTGTTTCTATTTTATATGCCTATTGTGATTGCGAACCTTCAATTCCTTACATATATATTCGGCATTTGATTCTGTAATTAATTAAAATTTTAACTTATTAAATATTGCTTACAATCGTTAATTTCTACTTAGCTAAAGTTTTTTTCGTATTTCAATTCGCGATCAAATTACTTCTTTTTGTATTTCGAATTTTGCCATTAGTTTCTCATTTTCATTCGTTTCCCTTCGTTTTCTAGCCACTGGTTCTTCAACAGTTGAGATTGACCATGGATTTGAATGGCTAGAAGAATGTAAGCAATTCTCATCTGGACAACCCGTAGCTCTAAAATCTGGCAATGGTGGCAGTTGCAGTGCATTAAATTCCCTTAACTCTTGTTGGGTATATTCTGCACTTATACGTAGTTCTAAGCTTTGATCGATTTGTACGTCATTTGTCTGATGATTTCGGTTTAAATCGATAATTTGTAAAGTAATTTTTGGCATCGGATGATACGAATCACTAATATTGTAGTGTAAAGAGCCCTCATTGAGCAGAAAACTGAAAAGAAAAGCAAAGAGAAGAAAAGATAATCACTTAAATAATTGTGGGTTTTGGAATTGAGTGTTAATGAAACCTTCCTACCGAGAAGTAGTGGTTTTAATTCTTTTTAATTAGCCCGGGTTTGCCATTGGAAATCGTATATATATATATATACATTCATATATATTTGTTAGACAAAATTTAATTTTTAAATTAATTTTTTTGTGCCTACTTTTCTTATATGATGCGTTCTTCTTCGGATATGTCCTTGCAGTTTCCTCTATGGCTGACAAGCTTTGAAGATTTGGCAAAATGATCACAGGTAAGAAGGAGAGTCGCGGACTTTTGTTATCGATAGATATTGTGGCTTTTTTTTTTATTGTGTCGTGTAAAAAAGTCAGAAAGGAAGACAGATATTGAGGGATGAAATGAGTTAGTTATCTTTGAAATAAGAGAATTAAAAGAAAATTGATAACCGCATCTGGCTCTTTGGGTATGTGAGATTGGATTTCTCGCGAAGGATTTAGAAGGAAGAACTAACGCTCCTGTTTCTAATAAGACTTATTAGTCAATCTGTTTATGAAAAAAAAAATCTTCGCGAAGGAAATGAAAGACATTTGTATTTTTTAATGATTTAAATATATTGTTGAGGGCAGTTATATGCTGGCGACCTAATATCTAATACTAAATGTTTTTATGCATATTTTGAGTTGATTATGATTCTGAAAATGGGATATCATCTTGCTTTCTACTTTGCTTTTTTTTTTTTTTACTTTATTTTTATATTACTTGCCTCCTTGAAAAATCCAAAGACGATTCTAAGGCTATGGCGTTCGGCATCATTTCTTCTTCGGGTTTCAGCGTATTTTCATCTCGATTATTTGCTTTATCGTCATTTTTACCAGAGAACTCTTTCGCAGTAACGTTACTCATAATGGAACCAACTTTTATTAAACGATCTCCCTGCGTTTGAACGTTTCGATTATTTTGTATAACCACTAAAGTTGAGATAAAAATTCTACAAAAAGGTAAATATATGTTTTATTAAATCTCTTGTATATAGTCCCACCCCCTACCTTTGATAATTTTTTGTCACTTCATAAGCCCTTAATATGCCGCATTTATTTTCTTTTGCTTCGCTACCAATTGTTAAACGTAGCAGTGTGCTTTTCGTTCCATTGCCTTGAATCATGCAATCTTTCGAATGCTGACTGACATACATTTTCCCCCGGAACCAATCTTTAGGCGTGTACTTGATAATCATATCTCGTGCGTGCAGATAACATGTACTATCCAAAATATTTATAAATTTAATGTAATAAAAAAAAGAAGAAGAAATAATAACAATAATATAACAGTTCAACAGTACACATAATGAGAAAATTTACCGTCCAAACATTTCACTCTTCTTATATAAACTGATTTTTTTCGCAATTTTAAACTTCTTGGTCCCAGTGAAATTATATCTTCAGAATGGAGCAAACATTCAGATCTATCAATATCATCTTCATATCATCTTCATAATGAAATGATACGCCCTGACAATAAAACTTTGTCTCACGGGAACACAATCATACATACTCGCTTTTATACGCTTATTCTTGAAAGTGGTACAATACATGCAAACTTATCTAGAATTGTAAACAAAAGTATTCTCTCAGATGGTTGAATTTTTATACATGCGACAGCTGTATGAATTGGAATTTCTATACAAATTACTGAGAACATATACGCTTAATCTCGCATCGATGGCTTTTTTACAAAGGCTTGTCGAATTATTGAGTACAAATATGCGCTTATTCTCGAAAGTCGTACAAACATGCAAAATGATTGAGAATTATAAACAACCGTATTCAGACATTCTCAGTTGTATGGAATTTGTATACAAATGATTGAGAACGAATATGCGTTTATTCTCTAAAAAATTTATTATACGACCAGAAAAATTTATTGTACGACCAGAAAATTTATTGTACGACCAGAAAAATTTATTGTACGACCAAAAAAGTTTATTGTACGACCAAAAATTTGGAAATTGTAAAGCATTTAAACTTCAACCTAGTTTACATAAGTGACAAACGAAACACGTCAAATAAATGAGATCCAATTGCGATCACTGAGGTAGTCGGTTGACCAAACACAAAGATTCCGTCAATTTTACGCAATCTGAAAATGTTGGAAAATATTTTTGTTTAACAAAAAGCAACAAAGTATTTTCATGTTCCTTACCCTCGTTCTATATAGTGCAAAAGAGTTGCTCTTGTACTGCTACGGAGATAATTAAAATAATAAGCCCTTCTTCCTTCCAGAGAGTTAGAACTCTCAGTGATACTGTTTCTTGCAGTTACGCATTTTGTTATCAAAACTTCTATTTTTGACAACATAAAAACCATTCTACCTATGCAATTTTGTTACCAATAAACCATTTCCGCTTTGGTCATATGAGTAATCTTTTTAATGATACGAAAAGTATGCTAAGAAAGTCAACACATTTACAAAAACTATAGAAATTTTTTGTATTTCGCTTGCTTACCACTAATTTTTTGGTCACTTTGGTCATAAGAACTTAAGGCACATAAAACAACAACTTACCTACCTTTTCCCATTGTATAATAGTCCTTTTGCCAATTTTGTTTAAGGTCTCTTGTATCTTGTCCCAATACCACCCCTTCTCCTTTTTGCCCACCATAAATTTATCTCAGCAAATGATAAGTATCTTCTTTTGAGGCTTTTTAACACTATTTTTCAAATAAAATATTGAAAACCTTGAAATTAAGAAACGAAAAGAAAAAGGCAAAAAGGTCGAAAAATTGCACACAAAAATTCTAACTCCAACAAGAATAACAACAGCCAGTTAATTTATAATTGAATTTTAATAAAATTATAAAGAACAACGGAGAATAGGGGGAGGTAGCTGATTTTACAAAATTAAACTCTTTCAATTATTGCCAATTGTAAATAAATACAGACTCAATTATTATCAATTCTAAACAAATTTAGACTGACTTTTTCAATGCTTCCTCAATTGTAAACAAATTCAGACGCTTACTCTCAGTTCTGACCAAATTCAGAAGTTTACTCTCAGTTCTGGCCAAATTATTTTTGAATTACTCTCAGATGTGATTAAATTCTTAGTCGTTTTTTAATGCAACAGGCGGTTGTTTACAAATACATACTGGCTTTTTCAATTATTCTCAATTGTTAAGAAATACAGACCATGAAAATAGAAAAATTTCTTTCATGCACGAATTGTGTATAAGAGTTAAGCTTGACTTGATAAAAGTTCTTTAGAAGCATGGAGCAATGAATATTTCTCTTATTTGTTTGTTAAATAAAGATAATTAAATTTTAATCCTTTAGAGTTTAAGTGAATCACAGAAATATTATCTTTAAGAATGACTCTTTGTATGTTAATATTGTATATAGCGTTTGTTGGCCGGTAAGCTTGGATAATCTTCCTTTCCAAGCATTCATCAGAGACAGCGTTGATTTTAAGAGCCCAAATTTAGGTTTCTTAAGTCCAATGCAAAAATTGCATTTTATTAAAAAAAATTTTACAATACTTTACATATCATAAATATTAAATACAGTTATCATTAAAAAGAAAACAATCACAATAATTTTTTATATTTATTCTTTTGTTTTATTACAATCGTATTACTATAATTTAGTTTTCTTTATTAAAAATTTTGTTCGTAAAATAAAATCCTTGTGTTAAAACTATAACCAAAATGTATTTTGATTTAAATACTGAATAAATAGTTCGGTTCCTTGTTAATAAATATTTTAAATCAAAAAAAAGAAAAAAGCAAGTAAGAATATATATTCACAACACAATATCTATCTTCCGTTAACATAATAAAAGGCTGTTCATGCTTCGGAGTTACAAATGGAAACGACGTCTTGAAGCCTCCATAGAGTGACGCTTATTGGTGATAATCTATCCACCGTTTTGCTGTACATACACACAGCTACCGCCTTCTTCTATGGATGTGACTAAATATAGACGCTTACTCTAAGACATGATCAAATTCACGCATAACAGGCGGTTGTTAACATATTCATGGTCAATAAGAGAAAACAAATTGGAAATTCAATGTTTGATCTTAACGGTAATCCTTAAATTATCATAATAATACTTAAATCGATTTCTACTATGAAGCAAAATGTCAGTCTTTCTTGTATGAGGATTTTATGGAATAAGCAGAAAATTATTTTTTTTGATTATAAATCATGTCAAAAAGGAAGCAAGAAGAAAAGGGCTTTCACGTGCGGTAGTTAAGATAGAAAGCATCGTAATGACAAAATTTATGGCCTCGTTTGCGTATAATATGGTTTAGGTATTTACAAAAATTCGCAAAGACCCTGAATATTGAGAGTTAAAGCCAAAAGCAAAAGTCATTTTTTGTCATTTCAATCATCTTGGATTTAATGTCTACGACAAACATTGTACATATTTCGTTAATCTCAACAGGGAAGTAATATAAATTCGTCAAGGTTTTCGGTAATTCAAAAAAATTAATTTCATTTGAGCGGGATGCGGAAAATCAAAGTTTAAATTGCATTAAGCAACTGATTGGCTATAGTGATTTTTAAAGTTGATTCATCAGAAAGGCTCTTCAGCTAGGCTACAGTAAAAACGGAAATGTCGAAAAATCTTGAAGTAGTCCTCCGTGGTGCGAGAGAAAGCATCTTCGACGAATACCACGCGTTTTTGCAATAAATCATTATAACCATTAAAGAAAAACATATAGCGCGCGAAATAAAAGCAGCTGCAAAATGTATACAAATCAATGGGTGGTATACGAATTCGAAGTAAAAACAGCTGCACGACCCGCTACTCATGCGAACAATTTGTAATTACGGGCGAAAATATTTTAGATTTGCAGAAATGTCGTTTCTCTGCTTATTTTTATGGCCTTTATATGTTTATATGTTTTTTCGCTAATCTCAACAATCAAAAGGAGGTATGGAAAAAACATACGAAATTTTTTACAGTTCAAAAGGAGGCATGGAAGGAATATACGAAAAACATATGAATTCAAAAGGAGATATGGAAATTCGCGTTTCTCTCCCGTCTGCTAACTCTCCCAATAGCTCTTAAAAATACAATCAGTTCTGTTATTGCGAATTAAATGGGGATTTTCTTTAATCGCCTTTGTTTCAATTATTCACCTAATTATTTTGAACTACAATCCAAATCCAAAAACAAATGCAAATAAAATATAAATAAATTTCGTACAAACAAAAGAAATTGTCGATATCCACTCAATATACAATATTTTCTTATCATAATAATTATTGAAAATAAGGTCCAGATATTAGGTTTTAAAATGCCCTAAGCTGCACGAGCTGGAATCGATCAACGAGGGCTATTAAATGCTTTTACTATTTGTTGTACGTCTATTTGCCAAGTTTCAACTTCGGAAATTGAGAAATTGAAATAGAAAATTCGTCTCTTGCTTGGCTTTTGGCCTATTCAAAATGAAAGGTCGAGATCTTCAACGTGTTTTAATCACAAACACTCACAAGAGGTTAGTTTTTTATGATTCGCTTTGTGTTCAATGCAGTTCGTACTTCGTTTCGTCCCAAGCTTTGTTAATATATTTTTTGCAGTTTCCAGCGCTACATTCTTGCCCGCCGAACCGGATTAGGGATAACAGAAAGTATGCGCTTTGCGTTCAATTAAACTCTCCGTTCTTCTCTGTCTCCGAAATTTAATTAAATCTTTGTATGTCACACATATTCATTTCAATGTGGTTTAAATGGCTGCGGTTTCACAGCGCGTTTGAAATGTTGTTTATCCCATTTTAGAGACTGGAAAAGATTACATCAATTGTAAGCAATAGGAATATTTCCTTTGAATCATTCATTCATAGAAAGTGTTCGTAGAAAAAGTAATGAATGACGTAGATTTCCGAATTGAGAATATAACTATTAGCTATTTCCAAAAGTTTGTAAATATTTATTTAAACAAGGAAAATATTGACACAGAAAACTGATTGCCAGCATACGCTTTCGAATCTGAGAACCATCAGCTTTTCCGCTTCTCTAACCCTCTATTAAACTACTGTCTATCATTCATGCTTTCGTTACAGTTGTTTCATCAAAGTGTTCTACTTCTGTCACTGACGTTGATGTTGTTGACGGTGTAGCTTATGTTTGCAATTCCTTTACGAATTCCCTCATTTCTACCAGTTGCACGTCGTTGTCATTGCACACTCGCAAATCATTACGCTTCAATAGCGGTCGTGGTGTTATAGGCAAAAATGTATTACAG